GGATTCATTAACAACATTGAAAACACCGAAACGTGTGGAACGGAAGCATCGGCCCTCCTCATTCACATGCACCAGGAAATGTAGCTTCGTTCTAAGCACAGCAAGTGCAGAATGATGCCAGTGTGGAGGCATGCCCAGCCGAGCGATCTGGTTGTATTGGGTTTGGGTCGCCATCGGTACATGGGAACGGTGAGCGTCGGTCAGCGCGCGCTAACGGAGACGTCACAGGGTGTGATGCCCGGCCCGGGACGTGGTCCCCATCTGTACATGGGAGCAGTGAACACCGGTCAGCGCGCGCTAAACAGAGACATCACAGGGTGTGATGCCCGGCCCGGACGTGGTCCCCATCGGTACATGGAACGGTGAGCGTCGTCAGCTCGCGCTAACAGAGACATCACAGGGTGTGATGCCCTGCCCGGACGTGGTCCCCATCTGTACATGGGAGCAGTGATCACCGATTAGCGCGCGCTAACGGAGGCGTCACAGGTGGTGATGCCCGACCCGGGACGTGGTCCCATCTGTACATAGAGCCATGAACACCGGTCAGCGCGCGCTAACAGAGACATCACAGGGTGTGATGCCCGGCCCGGGACGTGGTCCCCATCTGTACATGGGAGCAGTGAACACCGGCCAGCGCGCGCTAACAGAGACATCACAGGGTGTAATGCCCGACCCGGGACGTGGTCCCCATCTGTACATGGGAGCAGTGAACACCGGTCAGCGCGCGCTAACAGAGACGTCACAGGGTGTGATGCCCGGCCCGGGACGTGGTCCCCATCGGTACATGGGAGCAGTGATCACCGATTAGCGCGCGCTAACGGAGACGTCACAGGGTGTGATGCCCGGCCCGGGACGTGGTCCCCATCTGTACATGGGAGCAGTGAACACCGGTCAGCGCGCGCTAACGGAGACGTCACAGGGTGTGATGCCCGGCCCGGGACGTGGTCCCCATCTGTACATGGGAGCAGTGAACACCGGTCAGCGCGCGCTAACAGAGACGTCACAGGGTGTGATGCCCGGCCCGGGCCGTGGTCCCCATCTGTACATGGGAGCAGTGATCAACCGATTACGCGCGCTAACGGAGACGTCACAGGTGTGATGCCCGGCCGGGACGTGGTTCCCCATCTTACATGGGAGCAGTTAACACCGGTCAGGCGCGCTAAACAGGACGTCACAGGGTGTGATCCGCCCGGGAACGTGGTCCCCATCTGTACATGGGAGCAGTGAACACCGGTCAGCTCGCGCTAACGGAGACGTCACAGGGTGTGATGCCCGACCCGGGACGTGGTCCCCATCTGTACATGGGAGCAGTGAACACCGGTCAGCGCGCGCTAACGGAGGCGTCACAGGGTGTGGTGCCCGACCCGGGACGTGGTCCCCATCTGTACATGGGAGCAGTGAACACCGGTCAGCGCGCGCTAACGGAGGCGTCACAGGGTGTGGTGCCCGACCCGGTACGCTACCGTTACATGTGGCGAATCAGCAAATGATTTCACAGTCGAACTTAAGCCAGTTATGACAGCTCCGAGAAATGACCTGGCACCATATCTCATGCACTTTTCGGTATCTCCTTCAAGGCGTGTGTCTTGCCTCTTCATTCTGACTTTTGCTGTTATATAACTCTAGATGTATGAGATCGAAAAATGAATGCCGTTGTTTACTCTCCACTTTTCACCACCTATTCTTCAGCATTACTGTCGATATATTCTGATGCAATACTTCCCAACAGTCGATCAGGAGGGTGTTGACCCTTGGTCAGATCCCGCCCCCGCTTCGTAAAAACGGCTGCTCATCAATGCAAAACAACAAAATAGAAAGACATACACAAGTTAGTTTCCTTACCCACTACAAGTCGTGCTCATCACACCAGCAGCCCGCTGTCCAACCGCTTCATGAACGCGTCATGTCTGTTCGTCAGATGATCAACCAAATGGTTGGTTACGCTTGGTTTCGCGCAATGACTGGGCTCTAATCAAAAACGTATAATGAACGTCCGGTCGTGCTTCCCCCATGTCCGTCCGACCTGACCTGCGCTTGTCTGCCATGACTTGGCCTTGTCCGATCATGCCTACCATGACCTGACCTTGTCTGAGCATATCTGCCTGGCCTTCGTGGACCCATGCCTTACTTGCGCCCACGCGACTGGTTCCTCTGTGTCTGACCTGTCTGACCTCGTTTGACCCGAGCCTGACCCGTGTCCGTCTCCGTTCGCAGGATGGGTGGGCGCGTTCTCGATGGCCGTGTCGCTGGCGGCGTCGCCGCTCACTATTGCCATCTGTCGGCGGAAGTCGACACGTCTAACTGCCGTCCTGGGCGGCTTGGTGACGGCGCTGGGGTGCCTCTTTACATCGTTCGCCTCACAGTTTCACCAGCTCTTCTTCTCCTACTGCACTGTGATAGGTGAGCCATTGACCGCTTCTGCGTCCAGTTTATGCCACTGAGTAAAATGACAATTATTGCAGCAGTGTATGTGGACACCAGACTAGCAAAAATTGCGAAAGAAACGCTTGCTGAACCGCACATGTGTGTGCGCTGGGATCCACGTCAGCCTTAAACGTTCCGGGATCGCTGGGTTTGTAAATACAGCTTATACAGCTTATACGCGTTTGCTGACAACCTTGCTTTTGTGCTCCACTCCAATGTGGATCACAGCTCTGTGTGACACATAAAGTTGGGCCACAGTTAGGGTGGGTGAACTTTGGACCAATAATGTATTCTTCAGTCATCCTAGGCGGATCCGGGGGGGGGGGCACGGGGCCATGCCCCCCCAAACCTATGGGAGTATGTTTTGGCCCCCCTAAACATTTCCGGAACTTCATAAAAGTTTCGTCTACTTACCGTCTGTTTTAACTTTAACTGTTTTAACTGTTTTGTTTGAACTTCTGTTTAAGATTCAAAAGCATTTCGATGTTTTTTCGGTTTTGAATGGTGTCCCTACTAGGTACTCGCGAGAGGCACAACGCACTGGACCTCGGATCCCACACCAACCAGCTCGCGACGAACGGTTGCCCCCCTCCCCCAAACTCCAGGCTAGATCCGCCCCTGTCAGTCATTGAGGTTTGATTCCCGCGATCGCCGGGTGCGACTTAGAGCGTGGGCTGCAGGTTCGAGCATGGATGAGTGGTGCGTGTGGCCCAGTCTGTGGCACACGTGTTTGGACGTTGGAATCACTCAGTGCCTTGGTGCTTGTTGGCCCAGTGCATGACCCACATGTCTGTGTGTACAACCCAGCGTTTGACCCGCGGGTCTCGGTGTTGGCACGGCTCGGTGTCTCACCTGACGCGTGACCCACAGGTTTGGGTGTGGGTATGACCCGGGACAGCTCGGCCCTGATGGTCGGCCAGTACTTCAAGCGACGACGGGAGTTCGTCGAGATATTTGTCGTGTCCGGCAGCGGGCTGGGCATCACCATCATGTCCCTCTTCGTCAACGGCACCGTCGGGTAGGGCTGCACAGCTGCTGTGCTGTACATATCCCACGCCATGCTTTGTACTGATGTGGAGACTTGTCTTCTGTTGAACGAATGAGGCCAAAGGAGACTGCGTTTTGACCGTCTGATTGATGCAGTTGATATGTTCTGAAATCCAAGTTCAGTCACGCGCTGATTCTGACAGATGAGCTTTTTTGGCAGCCACCAGCTCAAGTTTCACGCCTGATTTTGATAAGTGATACTCGATTTAAGAGACGGATATAAAAGGGAATGATATCATGCTGATAGCGAGGTGCTGGTTTACCGGGAAACAGCTGGAAATACAGGGTCCCGTTTATGAATTGCCATGAACTCGTAACAAGAGAACTGGACTTATTTGGAATAGCGGTACAAAAGCTTTGCGTGTTTTTAAATGTGCTGGTCCCGTGACTTGAGACAGAAACAGGACAGAGGGGCAGAGCCCGATTTGTGAATTTCTAGGGAAAGCAAGCTTCGTCTGCCAGATTTGGCCATAGCCTACCAATCTTACGCATCTGATATCGCATCTGACCTGTCCCATACTACCTCTGACACAGCCGCAAGGGCCGATAAGGCGGTAGGGTGGTGTCAGGGGACGAGGGGGCGGTGACGAGACCCCGTACTGCTTCTGACAAAGCCATGTACACTCTTTGACAGGGCGGTGGGCTGGCGGCTGGGACTACAGGCCGTGACTGGGGCCGTGTTCGTCACATTTCTGCTGGGCACGTGCTATCGGTCAGCCTCACTATACCATCCTCAGCGCCGGGCCATCCTCCATCTGAAAAACCAAAAGCGCAAGGTCAAAGACAAGAAGACCGCGAATAAGATTACCAAGCCTGTGAATAAGGTAAGTGATAAACCAGACAGCCGGCCCTCGAGCTAATAAAGAGAGACCCTGGTGCGCATCATTGTCAGCACTATCTAGGTGCAACCATCTTACGAAGCTTTTTGACATTTATTGACGGAGGGGTAGGTACTGCGTCCTTATAAAACGGCAGTTATGTTGTAACCGTCGAGAATTGCTAGTAGTCTAGCAGTTGGTTTTTAACCTTGGATACTTTGCCATGTCATGAAAAGTTCTTGTAAACAAATGCCGAAGACTGATAATGGTGTAAGATGTGTGTCTTGACGGGGATAAATAGACTTAATTAGGCAGATCTTGCTGACCGGCAAAATTCGGGCAAGCCTTATCTGTGGGCTTAAATGTTCAGTGTTCAGAAAGTCAAACCAAATATTGTCTTGCCCCACACTGCGCGGGGTGAGACGTTATTGTATGGACCACAAAAGGGTGGTGGTTCGCCTAAAGGCCGCGCACTGTTCAGTTACGCGGCGCCTGCCGTCCTGTACAGTGTCCCTATACTCTCATCCATGACCGGCTGCCGACGTCGACATGTTCTCAGCTGGAAGACAAGCCACCAGTTCTTCGATCTCACCACGCTGAAGTCGCGCACGGTCCAGATCCTGCTGCTCTCCACGTCGCTGTCCGCAGTGGGGCTGAACACGCCACTCATCTACATGGTGAGTCGGCCTCTGTCGGGAGGCCGCGAGTCCAGCGATGACCTAGTTCTACCTCATGACCTCGTGTCCTCATGGCGGTGTCTGGCAGGGCAGTGGTGTGGTCTGAAATGAACTATATGCGTGAATTTCATGGACGGACAATAAATGAGGTTGCATTTAGATCTATTTTTTGCATTTATTTTCGGTATTTCGACGCCCGTTATTTGAGCTTCCTGCAACTAGTCCGCACGTTGTCTGCCTGCATCCTTGTTAATGAGCCATATCATGACTTGGACGCTCACAGATAATATGTGACACTTGGAATGAATCACACGATTTACGTTGCCTGATTTGTTGCTTTATTCTATCGCCTTGTTTTGCATGTGTCTCATATTGTAAGCAATCGTAATTAGGTACCATGTCCATCCCATCTATTTCGGTCTGTTAACATGTGGCCTGGCCGCTGACCCCTGCCCCCATGCACCGTGTCCCTGTGACCCCGTGACCCACGACCTCGTGTCCCGTGACCCGTGACCCCTAGCCCTGACCCCGCTGACCGTTCGCCCGCAGGCGCACGAGGCAAAGCGTGACGGCGTGGACGCCAGCTCGCTGCTCCTGCTGCAGACCTACCTGGGCCTGGCCTGGGTGCTCGGCTGCCTAGCGTTCGGCTCGGTGGTGGTGCAGCACAGCACCGAGTGCCGCATTGGGCGCCAGTACCTCTGCCAGGCATCGGCCCTGCTCTGCGGGGTAGCCATTCTCGGCTGTACGGCGGTCCGCGGCTACGGCGGCTACGTCCTCTTCGTGTGGGTGTACGGGCTGTTCTGCGGCGGTTACAGCTACAGCCTCAAGATGTTTACGTACGAGAAGGTGCGCGCGAGGAACTTTGCCAGCACGTGGGGGTTCATCCAGTGCTCGCAGGCGATCCCCATCGCGCTGGGCGTGCCTATCGCAGGTGAGAGGCGGGGGAATGAGGTGTAGGAGAGGAGATAGAGAGGAGAAGAGAGAGTAGAGAGAGAGAGGAGGAGAGAGAGAGAGAGAGAGAGAGAGAGAGAGAGAGAGAGAGAGAGCGAAGAGAGAGAGAGAGAGAGAATAGAGAGAGAGGAAAAGCGAGAAGGAGAGAAGAGAGAGAGAGAGAGAGAGAGAGAGAGAGAGAGAGAGAGAGAGAGAGAAGAGAGAGAGAGAAGAGAAAGAGAAGAGAGAAGAGAGAGAGAGAGAGAGAGAGGAAGAGAGAGAGAGGAAGAGAGAGAGAGGAGAGCTAGAGAGGAGAGAGAGAGAGAGAGAGAGAGAGAGAGAGAGAGGAGAGAGAGAGAGAGAGAGAGAGAGAGAGAGAGAGAGAGAGAGAGAGAGAAAATACAATGGAGTGCTCCATTTCGCGATTCTAACCACGTCAAGCAAGATCCCCGCAAATGAGCGAAAAATCCCTGAGTGCTTTGTGCAGCTCCTCCTGTTGATAGTCCTGAGGCGTTGTTTGCTGACAAATGTCATATGTTAGTACCGCCGAGCACTATTGGCGCATCCATTGCTGCAGGAAGCACACCGCTTTATCTTCCGCTCTCCTGGCGCCTAAACGTCTGTCATTCTCCCCTCCCGAAGCCAATCACGTCCGCCGCTCTTCTGATAGGTTTTTGATGGTCACACCGCGTGACGAATGGCATGGAGCTCCCCCGCTAATGATGCTTCCCCTGCGATTGCCAGGCTACATCAACATTAGCGCCGGCGACAAGGCCGGCTTCTACTTCTCCAGCACGTTCGTCGTCATCGGCAGCTTGACGATCTCGCTGATCGACATCCACCGGCGGCGGCGGCGGCAACGGCACGCTCGCAAGCACCACAAGACCAAGCGCGAGTGCAGCGAGGACTGCAGGAAGAACGAGCGTCGCTCCAGCCTGCCCGAGGAGGACGTGCCGCTACCTATCGGTATCACGCTACAACCAAGCTTCTTCCTCGAGCTCCTAGAGGGCATGCCGAAACCCGAGCTGACCTGCATCAGCGAGGAGGGCATCGCTGACATGGACATTCCGGACCACATCCTCGAGGAGCTCGAGCTGTACGGCGACATCACCACCTGCAACCAGGTGGAGAACTACCTGATGCTGAGCGAGTACGAGAACAACCTGATCGGCCACACTGCAGACCCGGCCGAGAAGCGGCGCCGGCGCTCAATGCTCTCGACGGTCGAGGATCGGCCGAGCCTGCGCGACTCGTGGCGCTTCTTCCTGCACCGGCACCGCAGCATCACCACCATTGACGAGGCGTCTGTGTGACGCGCGCTGCGGCCGTGACCCCGTGACCTTTTCGGCACCGGCGGCGACGGTGGCGTGTCGCCAAGTTGGTGAGGGATCGGTCTGCCGCGGCCGCCGGGGGTCCCCGCCGCGGGCGGTGATTGGCGGAGCCGGGCAGCGCGGGTCTGTGGCGTCGTGTGTCGGGCCGGCCGTGGACAGTGACGGCTCTCACACCACGTGGGCGCCGCAGTGTGGCTGCACGTGGCTGCACGTGTCCTCGTGTGATGCGGCGCGACTCAGCGCGGCCGCCGCAGCGAGAGCGGTCGGTGCGGCCCGAAGGCGCTCATTGGCCGTGGGTGACGTCATCCGGCCCGGCGCCGCAGCCAATCGGGCCGCCGAGCTCCTGTGCTCCCTCCTAGTCAACCCAATACTCAGTGCTACCGTAGTTTGACGTTCACTGTGACGGCGTCGCGGGAAAGCGAGGACTTGGGCAAGAACGGCGCGCGTGTGCCGCGTCTCGCACGTGTCCCCACCGTGGATTTGTTTTTCGTGTTGTCATACCGCCCCGAGTCTACTCTAGACCTGTTTTTGGACCTGTTTACGTTGCACTCGTGATCCCTGACTCTACGGAATGGCCGTGACATACTCCTGATCTGGTCCTGCCGAGTGCCGTATGGAACAGCCTCTCTCCCTCTTCCCGGTCTTGACTGGAGGTTCCTGAACAGGACTGCACCCTCGAAGGAGTTTAAAGAAAGAGAGCTTGACGATAGAGGCGCTGTGCCCGTGAAAGCTGGTCTTACAACCTACCATGACGGTATTCCCTAATGACCTAATGACCTAATGACCTAATGTTCTAAAATATTTGATAGGAAAAAGGGTGTGTCTATGCATACCTGCTGAACGATGTTCCCAAGCATGGTGCGAATCTTTCACGTCGACGGTCAATCCTAAAAACGGGGAACGAACGCTCCTCTTGTATCCAAACCTAGGGCGGCGCCGTGAATCTATCTGCCTCCACCGCCCACAATACCAGGTGTCCCCCAAATACCTGGAATGATACCCACTTCCACCCCGGCTCTGGCCGTCCCTTCCAAACCGTCCGATGTGTTGCCCAGCTCACGCAGAGAAGGCCGTTGTTTCGCGGAGGACCTCCCCTGCCCCCTCTCCATACACTGAGGCATGCGCTGGCGTCGTGACTCCGCTCATGGCGGCGGCAAGTATTATTTTGTGTCCGCGGCCCGCCGCCGATGAATACAGTGTTTCCATCACCAGGAGAAGTGTTTGAAGTGGCGGCGGATGACCGCGTGCACGTGCGTGTACCAGGCGTGGGGTGGGGTGTAAGGGAGTGTCTGTCACGGTCCCGGTGGTGTCTGGAGAGGGACTGCCAAGGTCTCGGCTGGTGTCTGGAGGGTGACTGCCAAGGTCTCGGCTGGTGTCTGGAGAGCGGCTGTCACGGTCCCGGCTGGTGTCTGGAGAGGGACTGCCACGGTCTCGGCTGGTGTCTGGAGAGGGACTGTCACGGTCCCGGCTGGTGTCTGGAGAGGGACTGCCACGGTCTCGGCTGGTGTCTGGAGAGGGACTGCCACGGTCTCGGCTGGTGTCTGGAGAGGGACTGCCACGGTCTCGGCTGGTGTCTGGAGAGGGACTGTCACGGTCCCGGCTGGTGTCTGGAGAGGGACTGCCACGGTCTCGGCTGGTGTCTGGAGAAGGACTGTCACGGTCCAGGCTGGTGTCTGGAGAGGGACTGCCACGGTCTCGGCTGGTGTCTGGAGGGTGACTGCCAAGGTCTCGGCTGGTGTCTGGAGAGCGGCTGCCACGGTCCCGGCTGGTGTCTGGAGAGGGACTGCCACGATCCCGGCTGGTGTCTGGAGAGGGACTGCCACGATCCCGGCTGGTGTCTGGAGGGTGACTGCCAAGGTCTCGGCTGGTGTCTGGAGAGCGGCTGTCACGGTCCCGGCTGGTGTCTGGAGAGGGGCTGCCACGGTCCCGGCTGGTGTCTGGTTTACAATGAGGTCTTTTTGATGGACGTCGCAGGGCGTACAAGATTACAATGAAGTGAGCTTAAAAAGGCTTCAGCCTGTCATATCATATCATATCACATCAGTGTATTGCTGTATGCAATGTATATCAATAGCCTTAGCTCAGCCAAGCTTGCGAAGACGTTGCTCCGTTGACAGCCTGGCCAGACCAGTCTCAGCCAATCACGCTTTTGCCTGGCTTATTTATTATCTTTACAGCCTCGGACCGTATCGCCGTGTATTTTGCAGGAAGGGAGTAGTTTCCAGAAGGTTTGCCGTAATGTGTTCAAGCTGTTAAGTGTAAGGTGGATCGTCGTACGGCGTGGCTCCGCAGCGCTGCCAAATCACCAGCATTTCGCCGGCCGCGCGATCAATATGGGTAACATGAATTTTCCAAACGCGAAAAGCTGAAGAGCACAGGCGTTAACTAATTGCAGATGTCGGCTAGCTGGCGTCAAAGCGATAGAGTCCAACTAATGCTGACGGAGTAGCAGACGGCCAGCGGTACTAGCAAATGGTTCTGGGTCGATTTGTGCGGACTTATCCCGACTCATCACGCACAAACCACAGATCCAACCGTTTAAATGCGCCTTTAAGGATTTATGTCATATTACAGCAACCAGAGGAGATGAAGACGTGAAACAAACTGCACAGTGCTAGAAAATGTGCCGGCAATAACTCACAAACATATCTCAAATCCGCCCGGCTCACATGCGCGCCAGTAGACGACAAGAAAGGAATCAAGGCCACTCTCTCCCAAGCCAGTCTGAGTAGAAGACCTTGTGGCCGAGGCCGAGATAAATGGGACCACGAGAACCCCGCAGACACGTGGTCCCGTTCATTACAACTAATATGGCATTTGCTTTTTCGCAATTCTATGTCCACAAGTTCAAAACTGTAACTCACAGCTGGTTGACCTATCTAAAATTGATCGACTTTATGGACTGAAATTGTCGGCCAGGCCAATGGTGTAGCCGTGATTTACGACTGGGGTGGGGTGACCAGGATCTGCGACGGGGTGGGGGAAAGCGGCCAGGATTTTTTACGACCGAGTCCCAGCCCCATTCGGAGCAATACGCGCTTCAAGCCTACCACACACGCCATAAATGTACGTAAACGCAGTGGTACCTAACGCATCAATCGACTGTCAACGTTGGCGCAAGTAATCAGGGTAGATGACGCGACCTTTAAATTTAACACTGAACTAACTAACGACTGTGAACGTTGGTTCCCCCTGGCGCCTAACACATTTCTCCCAGCTGCGCTCCGTTCTACCTCCTTGACCACTTGCTGACTATGTCGCCACATTGCTGTTAACGAGAGCAGCATGTCACTGCTCATGGAATTCATGAGATGCAAAACCAAAATAGTTTTTAGATCACCAGCTACTGCAGTTATAATCGATATCGTCTATGTGAAATAAGTACTCTGGACACTGGCGGGAGAACGCCGGGCTAAAATGTCATGCCTCCCCTCCCCCTTAAATGCACCTCTGGGCCAGGCAGGGATCGTAGCCCACGTGGGGTCACCTCGCCCGTCCCATGCCTGATCACCTCGCTCGTCCCGCGTCTGATCGGCCCTTATACCCTTATAAATTGTGTTCGTGTGGGCTTGCAGAGGGCGACTGGCCCCACTCACTAATGTTCAGTGTCATCCATACGGATGTAACGATCTTATCTGATCACCTCGCTCGTCCCACGTGTGATCACCTCGCCCGTCCCACGTCTGATCACCTCGCTCGTCCCACGTCTGATCGGCCCGCTCGTCCCACGTCTAATCAACCCGCTCGTCCCACATCTGATCAGCCCGCTCATCGCATGTCTGATCAGCCCGCTCGTCCCACATCTGATCAGCCCGCTTGTACCGCGTCTTATCACCCTGCTCGTCCCACGGCTGATCAGCCCGCTCGTCCCACGTCTGATCAGCCCGCTCGTCCCACGTCGCAAAAGACGTGCCACTAGCTACGGCGTCGTGTTTCGGGACGCCGGTAAGCTCTGTCAAGCTGCTGTCACCGGAACCAAGTCGAAACGGCGAAACCTCTCAGGGAGGGATGTTTGACGGCGCGCTGGCTGTAGAAGAGCCGGATCAGAATCGCGTTTTAGCGCCGGAGCCGGTGCGGCGATGCGCCATCGCGTCCGGAAGACACGCTCGGGAACGGCCACCGGTCGTCGCGCCGGACACCACCGAAGGAAAGGCACTGCGCTCCTCAGGCGACCCTGTATCTCGACACCTCGTGAAGCGAGGCGAGCCGAGACGGGCTTGTGTCATATCCGTTCCAGTTTAAAATAGCGGAAGAGCTTATATGACGTTCAGGACAAAATCAAGTAGTGCATCGCTAGCCGTGCATCAACATGGATAAGTTTTGCGAGGTAAAAGGAGAGGTGGAGGGGAGTGGCTGAACAGGCAACAATGACGAAACTTACGCAATTTTCTTTCTTAAATACCGGTTGCATCAAGGCTAACCCTCTTCCATTAAAGTTCGGTGGCCTCCCCGCCTCAAACCGAACATAAATCTTAGCCTTCTCCACCAGATAATTTCGGTCATGTTGCGTTGAGGCCATAAACAGCCCCCTTTACGTCGAGGCGTGCCTTCGATGACGCCCCGCAGCCTACGTTTTCTGACACAGGAGTACAGTGTTGCCGACCTCCGCCGCTTGACTGATGGTATGCGTGCGAAGGGGGCGGGAGGGGGCGGGGAAGGAGGGGCCCGACACGCCTCGGCCACTGGCGGCGGTCGGTTTGTGATGGATCACCGGCGGCGCTCACACGAACGTGGCGCGCCGGTGGCGTCGGCGGCGCGCCCGCGGAGCTAACCAGCGGCGACTGGCCGTTCTGGTGTCAGGCCGTGTCTGGCGCGCGGGGGCGCCGTCGTGCTGGGAGGCATGCGTGTGGTGTCGCCGGACGAGCGCATCTCTGGACCCAGCGCCTCATTGGCGGCACGTGCGCCGTTCGGAAGTGGTAGCTGTGTTCGTATTTCGGGAGTGGTAGCTGTGTTCGTATTTCGGGAGTGGTAGCTGTGCTCGTATTCAGGGAGTGACAACTGTGTCCGTATTTAGAGAGCGAAAGCCATATTCGTATTGGGGGGGGGGGGGGGGGGAAGCTGTGTTCGTATTTCGGGAGTGGGAACTGCGTTCATATTTCGGGAGTAGTAGCTGTGTTCGCTATTTCGGGAGTGATAGCTGTGTTCGTATTTCGGGAGTGGTAGCTGTGTTCGGATTTCGGGAGTGGTAGCTGTGTTCGGATTTCGGGAGTGGTAGCTGTGTTCGGATTTCGGGAGTGGTAGCTCTGTGTTCGTATCTCGGGAGTGGGAACTGTGTTCGTATTTCGGGAATGGGAGCAGTGTTTGCATTTCTGGAATGAAATCGGTGTTCGTATTTCAAACCTGTTTCACGTGAATGCATGCCCTCCGAAGTGTAGTTACCGACTGGCGGTCCCAGTTGGCAATAAGGCCGCAGATGTCGCCAGCGTCATTATTGAACTGTTTGCGTTTCACGGCGTTTGTGCAAACATGGCAACCATAACAATGGTGGGAATGGGCAGAATCTGATGTTGACGGCCTTCTAATGGCTGGAACTGCCACGTCGTCCCGCGTCCGTAGTCAAATAGTAACTTTGACATTCGCTCTGGTAGAGGACTCTTTCCGGTGCGTTATGAGGTTGTTGTACATCACTTCTGCGCTAAATTGCCTCTATTCTGGGTCACTTCGGCACAGTCATCAAAACTACATTGCATTACCGAAGGCTAACTTTTCGAAAGTTGGTAAACTTTAAGTGCTATTGAAAGCGCCCTCAGGCGAACAATGGGGCCATGGCTGGCAAGGACGCGTGACGACTGCATTCGGCATCCGTCGACACCGAAATTCGAGAGGAACAATTTGCATGCCAGAGGCGGCCTTCAGTAGCGCGCAGACCACTCGTGACAGCTGGTTTCCACCCGACCTGCTGTGGACAAGCCCAGCTCGAAGTCCTGCTCATTAAGAAAACGCCGTGAACCGACTCATGCCGCGAAGGCGCGTTTATAGAAATATGTGTGCAGGATTACCCAGAAGCTGATCAAAACCTGGTGACGCTGATGCTGCATCGGCAATTTTTTCAGACAACTCCAGCTCTGTGTGCCGTGAAAACCGACACCATTAGTCGATGTGCATGACAACATAGTGACGCACAACTGTGCCTCGCTGTTAGGGTGTGCTTCCGACGACACGCCCGCCACGCCGTGTGAGCTGCTGCAGATCGGGCATGCGTGCC